AGTTGTTAAATGGTCAACCATGAGTGCAGGAAATTACTCAAAGAGATCAGCATTGTGGCACACAGGGTTAACCTGCTGCCTGCAGTGGTTCAAGTCCCGTTGCTTCACATCTGCTCCAGCTCCCTAGAAAAGCAGCAGAGGATGGCCCAAGTGCTTGGGCCCCTGCACCCACGTGGGAGACCTGGCAGAAACTCCTGTCTCCTGGCTTCGGACTGGCCCAGCCCTGGCCATTGCAGATGCTTAGGGAGTGAACCAGTGGACAGTAGGTGTCTCTCTCTCTGTCCTTTAAATACAGAAGTAAATACAACTTTTCAAGAAGTTAAAAGAAATGATAGGTTTTCAGCTCTGTTGGCACCTACAAAGCAGTGCCTAAGGCCTTGGCCTCAGCGGTACACCCATTGGGTGCGAGTGGCAGCTCACCCAGCACCACCTCGTGCACAGCCAAGTTGACTCGTGGCCTCTGAGCTCTGTCCTGTGGCCTCACTTCTTCGTTTTCTTCCTCATCTGCCTTGTCGCCGGGTCTGGAGAGATCACACGATGACACCATCAGCCCTTTTAGTTTTCACATGGTCGTTTCTGACAAGGAAGTCAGCCAGGGGTGTGGAGTGGGAGCCCCAGCAGCTGTCAGGTGGGGGATGGAGAGGAATCAGAGCCCTGCTTCCCAGAAGGTTCTGGTGCCTTTCCCTTCTTTGACCTGGTCTGCTCACCCTCTTCCATTCCAAGAGTGTTATGACTGGGGGTGCTTCCAGAGGTCTGTAGAAAATGGGATAAGAAAAGTTTATTCTACAAAATGTTTGAAATCCTTATAGATAGGGAGGTATCTTCTGGATAACCAGGAGAAAATGCTATTATGCAAAAACTATTCAGACTTTAAGTTTCTTTTACAAGTGCATAAACTTTTTTAAAAACAAAGATGTATTTATTTTTATTGGAAAGGCAGATTTATACAGAGAAGGAAAGACACAGAGAAACACCTTCTGTCTACTGGTTTACTCCCCCAAATGGCCACAATGGCAAAAGCTAAGCAAATCTGAAACCAGGAGGTAGGAGCCTCTTCTGGGTCTCCCACATGGGTGCAGGGTCCCAAAACTGTCCTCTGTTTACCTTCCCAGGCCACAAACAGGGAGCTAGATGGGAAGTGGAGCAGCCAGAACATGAACTGGTACCAATATGGGATCCAGGCATATGCAAAGTGAGGATTTAGCCACTAGGGTATTATGCCAGGCCCTATTTTTATTTATTTATTTAAGTATTTATTTATTATTATTGATAAAAACAGACTTACAGAGAGGAGAGACATAGAGAAAGATCTTCCATTCACTGGTTTGCTACCCAAATGGCTGTAATGGCCACAGCTGAGCCAGTCCAAAGCCAGGAGCCAGGAGCTTCTTCTAGGTCTTTCATGTGGGTGCAGGGTCCCAAGGCTTTGATCCATCCTCGACTGCTTTCCCAGGCCACAAGCAGGGAGCTGGATGGGAAGTGGAGCAGCTGGGACACAAACTGGAATCCAAATGGGCAGCTGGCACTCAGCAGGCTGAGGCTTAGCGTGTTGAGTGCTGGCCCCTCAAACATGTGCCGTGAGCCACTGGAAGCCTCGCGTGCTCTGAGAAGCCTTGCTACCTGCTTCACGGCTGTGCATTCTTGTCCTGCGTCCTGGAAACTGCCCTGTGAGCTGTGGGGCTGCAGCTCTGGGAAGGTGTAGAGACGCCAACAGCTGGAGGCTGTCACACAGGGTGCTGACTCAGTTCATGTGGCAGTGACCCATTTCCCTTCTGTACTGGACACAAGCAACTCAGTGTTTCCATGGGCACTGCCAACATCTGGAGCCCTGGCTTGGGTCCTGGTGGGTATAAACGTTTGGTGCTGCCGTGGCTCCTGGCACCAGAGGCTCACCTCTGTGTTTCTTGCTTAGGGGAGGGGAACAGAATGAATCATTGTATGCTGTTACCCTATTTTTTTTTTAAAGTGTTTATTTTTACTTGGAAGGCAGAATTAGAGAGAAATGGAGAGAGAGAGAGAGAGAGATATTGAGAGAGAGAATGAATCTTCCATTCACTGGTTCACTCCCAAAATGGCAGCTACAAGCCAGAGATGGACCAGGAGCCAGGAACTTCTTCCTCCCACATGAGTGCAAGGTCCCAAGGCTTTGGGCCATCCTCTGCTGCTTTCCCAGGCCACAAGCAGGGAGCTGGATGGGAGGTGCAGCAGCCAGGACTCAAACTGGTAGCCATATGGGATCCCAGCATGGCAAGTGGAAGATTAGCTTGTTATGCCACTGTGCAGCCCCATCTTGTTTTTTTAAGATTTATTTTATTTTTAAAAAATGTATTTATCTGTCTGAAAGGCAGAATTACAGCAAGAGATCTCTCTGCTGGCTCCCTCCCCAGACGGCCTCAGTGTCTCAGGCTGGGCCAGGCTGAAGCCAGGAGCCCAGAACTGCATCCAGGTTTTGCATGTGGGCAACAGGGCCCCTCGTACATGAGCCATCATCTGCTGTTTCCCAGCATGCATTGCTAGAAGCTACAGGGACCAGGCACTTGGCAGGTGTGTGTGTGTGTGTAAGTGTCCCAAAGGACAGCTTAGCCCTCTTCATTACAGCATCTGCTCTCAAAACATTTCATGTTAAAAGGGGAGAGAGAGAGGGATTGATTAGGTCAAAGCCAGAAGCCCAGCACTCATCTGCGCCTCCCACATGGGCGGCAGGGACTCCAGCACTTGCGCCAGCTCCTGCTGCCCACCTGGGGGCACCTCAGCGGGAGCTGGAGTGAGCGGTGGAGCCAGGGCTCCAGCCCAGGCATCTGACAGGGTCCGTGGGCAGCCCTGTGGCACCTTCACTGCTGTGCCCAGCTTGGCCTCTGCTCAGCACGTGCGGGATGAGTGAATTCGCACAGCTGGTCTGTGTAGCGTCATTCACCAAACAGTCTGGTCCCTTCTCGGAGTCTGCAGATGCAAGATCTTTTTAGAAGCTCTACTCTTTTTCCCCCTTGCAAGCTCAGGAAGGGAGGAAGTTGTGGTAGGAGGTAGGGCGCATATGGATCCTTGGAAGCAGTGAATGGTGGCTCGGGCTTGAACTCGGGGTGTTGTGGCTGTCGTGTCAGTGGGAATCCAGCGAGGAAGGAGGCATTTCTGAGTGTGAAGCACCTGCCCCGGTGTGGCCTCCGGGCTGTCCTCTCTGGGGGCACTCAGTCCTGACAGCCACAGGCCACCACGCCTATCCTGCTGGCTGCTTCTTGCTGAGCGGACCCACTGAGCAGGAAGCAGTGAGTGTGTGCAATGTGTGAGAAACATTCCGAATGTGGCAGCCGGAGCCTCATCCTGGCGCTGGGAGGCACAGTCTCGGCTGGCCCAGCAAACAGAACCCGCATTCCCCGCTTCTCGCCCAGGGGGATCACTCCGGCATCCATCACACAGGTGTTCGAGCGAGGTGGACATGGAGGTGACACCTCAATCATACCCCCCAGGTGAGCACCTGCAGGAAGTAGCTGCGGGCCCAGGCCTGGAGAACAACGGGAAGAGGCGGCATCGCCAGAGCCCGGGTGCTGGAGGTCAGGCTGCCTGTGCTGGCACTGGGGTCTCCACTGGTGCCCAGTGTCCAGCATGCCAGGCTGTGGAGAGCTAGAGACTTCTGCACGCCATACCCTCAGGGGTGCCCCAGCAGCTAAGACCAGGCAGTTCCGCACCTCCAGCTCACAGAGTTGGCAAGGACCTCGGGCAGCAAGGGCATCTGGGAAACGCATGGCTGACCCCCAGGCCAGCGCAGGCACAGCCATGGCTTAGAGGTCCAGCTGAGGGGAGAAGGTGGCCTCGTGTGCCCAGGACTCTGCTGGGAGCTGGCCCTTCAGCTCTTGCTGGAATCCTTGCAAGCGCTGGGCCTTGTCCCAGTACCGCTGAGAGCCACCGCCAAGCGTGCCATCGTGCCACCTGGCAGAGGAGAACTTGCTCCATCCCCACCTCGCAGCCCCTCAGGCTGCAGGGCCTGCTCAGTTCACTACGCCACAAGGCCACACCTCTTCTACTCTTTCCTTGTTTCCACTATTTCCTGTAGTCTCTTTAATTGATCTCATTGGTGATCTGTTTTTATGCCTGGCTGACCCACTTCCAAAGAGTTCCCTGCTAATACACTTAGCAAAGCAGCAGAGGATGGCCAACCTGCTTGGGTCCCTGCGACCCAAGTGGAAGATCCAGGACAGGCGCCAAGCTCCTGCTTTCAGATCGGCTTAGCTCTGGCTGTGGAGGCCACTTGGGGAGTGAACCAGAGGATGGAAGATTTCTGTATTTCAAATGAATAAAGTAATTTTTTTTTCTTTGTTTTCTTCTTTGTCTTCCACTGCAGAACATCTTGAAGTGTTTGGGTTTTCGAAGTCGCTCGGCCGGTCTCCCTTCTGCTGCCATCCCCAGCGGCTTCCTCGGCTTCCTCCCGCGCAGCAGCCCGGAGCTGGACGTGCGCCTCTCTCTGCGCACCTGCGCGCACATCAGTGCTCACTTCTGGGCGCCGGGGCCAGCGGCTCGAGGACCCCGGGCGGGCCCGCTTCCAGCGCAGCACCCTCGGAGCCTGCCAGCGGCCACTCCGCGCACCCTTCTGGGAAATCGAGGTGCACCCTCGCGGGCTGCACTCAGAGCCCTGTCCTTTGGGGGTCTGGAACTAGCAGTGCGACTCGCTACCGCCAAAGGACTGCTCCCAGGGCCGAAGCCCGCGGGGCGCACCGCCTTCCCCCCACCTTCCGCGGCCGTGCCCGGGGAAAGCAGTGGAGTTTCCAGTCGCAGCCGACTCCGCGTGGTTTGTCTGGTCTTGTTGTTTTTGGCGCCGGTTGCAAGTGGGGAGGACTTCTAACTTTGCGGTCTCGCAGGCGCTCGCGCGGCTCCAAGAGCGAACCGCCGCCTTCGCTGGCAGCCGAGCCGCGCGCGCGGGCTCTCCTCCAGCCCCGGGGGTGGAGGGAGTCTCTCTCCCGGGCCGGGCGGCATGAGCGCCCAGCGGTAGTGCCGCCGCCACGCCCGCGCCCATGGCTCTGCTGGCGCCCATCCTCGGAGCCCGCGTGCGGCCGGTGCCCCGGCGGCCTGGGCTGCTGCGCGCTCGGCCGCCGCCGGTGGGGGCGCGGGCCCGGGACAAAGGAGCCGGGCGGCCCGAGGGGCCCCGCAGCCTCGCCGCCATGCCGGGGCCGCGCACGCTCGCCAATCTGGTGGAGTTCTTCTGCCGGGACGGCTTCAGCCGCATCCACGAGATCCAGGTAGCGCTGGGGGCCCGGGTGCGGGGGGTGGGCTGCGCAGGAGGAGGAAGAGGAGGGACCAGGTCGGGGGGGGGGCCCTTGGGGGAGCGGGGACGTGACACCGGGGAGGGGTCTTCTCATGGCGTTCGGGTGCAGTCTGCGATGGGAGAAGCAGGGAGGGTGGCCTGGAGGCGCCGGCGTCGCGGGGGCCGCGGAGCAGCTTGGGGCCCTCCCGTGTGCAATCACTCACTCTGCTCTAAGCGCAGAACTCAGCGGTCCAGAAAGACCTTGGGCAGTGGGAGACCCTTCGTGGGCCTGGCCACTGCTGCCCAGCTTGGAGAAGCAGCGACCTGGCTCCCAGTAGTTAACCAGGAGCAGCCTTCATCCCCTTGGGAGCCCCCCGCGGGTCATTACTCCCCATCTCCCCATCTGCCCTCCCACCCCGACCTGCCTGCCCTCCTGGGATGCCACCCTAAGGTCCCAGAGAAGGTGAAGCCTGCTTTATTAGCATGCTTGTTGGTGAGTCCCCCGTTATCCATTCCTCAGAACGGAACTTCATCTTGCATCTGCTTCTTGCGCTGCAGACTCAGGGTCTGTGGACACAGTTCCCTGGCCAGGCAGACTGCAGTCAAGGCCCGATCTCAGCTCCACTCCGTGTCTTCTTTCCGTCTGGTTCGCCTTCAATCAGTGTTCTGAACCAACGCTCCCGGGGTGCTGGGTGCTCAGACTTGTCCCGGCCACACCCATGGCCTGGGGCTTACTCGCGGGGTGCTTTACCTGGCACCCAGGACCCCAGCTGCTTCCTTTTTGTGGGCTCACTTTTCCTCTAGTCTTGGGACAGCTCTGTTGGAGCCCTCCCAGGCAGCACTGTGTGGCACTGTCAACGAGGTGCCCAGGGGGCATGTGGTCCCCGTGGCCTATCCCAGCACCCTGGGGTGGATATGGTCTCCAGTGAGACTCCCTCCCTCTGCTCTCTGGGTGAGGCATAGTTACGGGGAAGGCATGACAGATTGACCAGGCCTAAACCAGAAACCTGCAATCCGGAAATTGAACTGATTTTGAGTACCGACATGATGCCACAAGTGGAAAATTCTACACCTGGCCTCATAGGACGGATCGTGGTGGAAATGCAAGCTCAGTAAACATGTAGAAACTTCCTTGCAGGCTGTTGGGTAAGGCAGAGATAGGAGCTAGTCAGTCTCAGCCCAGAGCTGAGTGTCTTCCTCAAAGAAGCTCTTTACGTACGTGCAGATACTTTTTTGTTTAAAGATTTATTTTATTTTTATTGGAAAGGCGGATATACAGAGAGGAGAGACAGAGAGGAAGATCTTCCATCCGATGATTCACTCCCCAGGTGGCTGCAACAGCTGGAGCTGAGCCAATCCGAACCCAGCAGCCTCTTCCGGGTCTCCCACACGGGTGCAGGGTCCCAAGGCTTTGGGCCGTCCTTGACTGCTTTCCCGGGCCACAAGCAGGGAGCTGGATGGGAAGCGGGGCTGCTGGGATTAGAACCGGCTCCCATATGGGATCCTGGTGCATGCAAGGTGAGGACTTTAACCACTGCGCCATCACGCCGGGACCAGTACGTGCAGATATTAAAAAAAAAATCCAGGTTCTGATCTCAAGCCTTTTGGATGAGGGGCACCCAGTCTGTAATTCTCTGGCTTGGCTTGCCCTGTAATCATAGCACTCATTTTTTTCAGTTTATGGTAGAGACCTAAAATGTTAGCTGGGTGACTTCCTTGTGGTCTCAGTGGCAGAGTGGACATGAACAGGGTTCCTGCACACCGTGTTAGTGGGCCATGGGTGAGTGCAGGTGGCTCACACACTGCAGTTACATGTGGAGACTGGGCTGGTCACTTCTGTGGGCCTCAGCTGCCTCGTCTCCTGGATGGCTGGGGTGAGGATGAGGGTTATCTCAGAAGATTAGGGCTGTGAGGGTGTGGAAATCAGTAATGGAGCACAGTTGTGAGTCCCTGTTCTGGGAGATGTTATCTCTCCATTTTGCAGGTCACCCAGCCAGTAAGTGATGGGCTGGTACTCCAGTTCCATTATCTGTGTGAATCGTGTGTCTAAGCCAGCTTTGAAAGCCGTGGGTGACCACACTGCACTGTGTCCACCCCCAGGAGATGCTGTGGGCCCTCCGTGTGATGTCCACCACCAGCTTCTTATGCTGGTCAGCTCCTTCAGTAGCAAGACTTATCTGAGAAGTGACTCATTTTCTGGTCACCATTTTAGTGGTTTCCTTCAGAGATCTGACCTCTTTGAGGTCACTCATTCACTGGACAGAAGTGACCCCTGGAGACTGGCTCATTCCAGTAGAATCTGAATGTTTTCACCTGATGGGCAGGTGGATTTGATCCAGGTCCAGCTTCCACCTAGGGTGGAAGAGTGAAGAGGCAGCAATTTCTCTGGCCTGCCAGTTTGCTGACTGAGTTGGAGTGCGAACAATTGGCAGATGCCAATCAGAATCCTAGTAAGAAAGATCAGCAGGTGCCAGGAAGAGCCCTCATTGTTTTTCTGAGTCATGTCTAAGCTGTGTTGGAGTTGTTCATCCCTTCACCTTGTTTTTTTAATCCATTTACATTTATTGTGGTTTCTTGCTTTGTACAGTGTCATTGAGATATCATTCACTTACTGCTCAGCTTACTCATTTGAAGTGTAGAATCAAGCAGTTTTAAGGCATCTTAATTCCATCAGTTGTACCTTTTAGCTGGGAAGCTTTGTCCCCCAGCTTCTCTATTCCCTGACAAGCAACTATTTATTTTTTTTTTGTCTCTGTAAGAGTGGCTTATTGTGGCTGCTTCCTTTCACTTGCTATAATGTTATCGAAGTTTGGCTTATGCAAGTACCTACTTTCTTTGTGGATATGAATGATACACAGTGTGTGGATCTGCCACATTTTGCCTCTCTACCCCTCAGCTGATGTGTGCTTGGCTGCACTGCGGGCTGTAAGAACGATGTTGCTGGGAACTTCTGTGTGCAGGTTTTTGTGTGAGGCAGGTGTGGCACTGGGAGCTCAGGCTGTGTGGAGATTCCGCCAGGGTGTCCTGGTCATCACTTCTTGGCGCTCTTTGGATCACGACCCTCCTAGTGGGTGTGGAGCTGCTGAGTCGTCTGTCTGATTTGTGCACTCGGACGTCATGTTGAGAGAAATGTTCAGTTGTTAGCTGGCTTACTTGCTTTTCTAGTATTGAATCGCAAGGATTGTCTTGTACATCTTGGATACCAGTCTCTTAACGGATTCATGCTTCGCAAATGTTTTCTCTCTTCCCGGGGAGATAGCTTTTTCACTTTCTCAAGAGAGTTGTTGAAAGCACAAAAGTTTTAAAATTTGAAGGCGTCTGATGAGCTATTCTTTTGTTCCTATGCTTTTGGTGTCATGTCTTAAGACCTTACACTGATCCCAACGTCATGCCAATGGACCCCATGCAAAGTCAGGCTCCCCGCTCTCTGCCCCACCCCACCCGCCCCTCCCCATTTCTGCTCCTCCCCGACCTGGGACCAGTCAAGTTCAAGGTGTGTCACCTCTGTGTCTTTTTCCTTTTTCGCTTTCTCCATGACATTGCAGCAGCAGCACACATGGGAATATGGAAAAATCTTCAAGTCTCACTTTGGTCCTCAGTTTGTAGTATCTGTTGCAGACCGAGACATGGTGGCTCAGGTGCTGCGGGCGGAGGGGATGGCGCCCCAGAGAGCCAACATGGAGTCCTGGCAGGAATACCGAGACCTGCGGGGCAGAGCCACCGGGCTCATCTCAGCGTGAGTACGCGGGGTTTGGGGAGCAATGTGTGTGTCGCGGTGCCAAGTGGCCCCTCGGTGTGGCTCCCTGAAAGCAGCAGCCTCATCAGGCTGTCAGGGTCCCACTGGCCGAGCGAGGAGCAGGTGCTCTTTGAGAGCAGTGCTTGTAGCTGGAGAAGCCTGCTTGGGGCAGGTGAGGGCCTGGGAACACAGGTGCTTGATGCCTGTGTGGTGACCTCCCGACTCTCCGCAGGCTGGACTTGAACAGGCTCCCTGACACCTCTGAGTGTCCTGGGAGGCTGTGGGCCAGTTGCCAGGCTGGGGAGGAGATTTTGGTGTGGCTGCAGGGGCTCTGGCCCGGTGCCCTGCAGTTTAGGGTTCCATTGGCAACCAGCTGGCCTGTGCATTTATTGTAATGTCGGTTCAAGTGCATCCAAGGAGAATCTTACTGCCTTTAGTGACTATGATTCCCCACCCACAACCCTGCCCCACATAGAGAATGCACCCCAGGGTCACGGCTTAAGATCTCCAGCTTCCAGCATTCCATACAGGAATCCGTCTGCCCAAGCGAGGGTCCTTCCTCTCTTTGGTTCCGTCTGGAATGTGGATCCCGTTCCTTCTTGCAGCTGGGAGATCTTTCTTTCTTTTTTCTTTTTTTTTTTAAATAAAATTTTATTTTGACATTCTTTACATAGTTAATTAGGGTAAGAAGGTTCAAGGGCTACAGGAAAGTGGATAATACTAGTATGTTTTCCATATTGTTACCTTCATGTTTAAAGGGGGGTATTAAGGGAGAAGGCCCACCCAATTTCCCACCCTCCCCAGGTCCCGGATGTAGGGCATGCTCTGAGGTTCTTGCTCAAGTGGTTTTGATATTGCAGCAGTTATGAATGGCTGTCAATCTTGCCTCTCCAAGCACTATGAGGTCTTTGAAAAATCCACTGATTGACATAGTCCATCCTAGCTGAGATGGTTGGTTGACCTGTTCTGTCTTCTCTCTTTTCTTGGTTAGGGTTCTGAGTCCAGCATTTAGATTAGGAAGATGGCAGATCTTTCTGAGGTGTCTCAGATCACTTGGGACTCCCCTTGTTCCTCCAGGGAAGGCGAGCAGTGGCTCAAGATGAGGAGAGTATTGAGACAGAGAATCCTGAAGCCTAAAGACGTGGCTGTGTTCTCTGGAGAAGTCAACCACGTGATTGCTGACTTAATCCAGAGGATCTACGCGCTCAGGAGCCAGGCGGACGATGGGGAAACCGTAGCCAATGTTAATGAGCTTTTCTTCCGGTACTCCATGGAAGGTGAGGTGGAGTCGCAAGTGTGCGGAGGGGCGGACAGGGCCCTGTCGGGGATTTTGCTTCCCGAGTGGCCAGTGCTGGCTGCCCTGCAGGCCAGGCTGCAGAGAATGGCCGTGGTGATAGCCTTGAGAGTTCCAGCGAGGTGCAGCCTGTTGCTACTGGCAACTGTAAGTGAAGCCGGGGTCCTCACCTCTCTTTCCTGCCCAGGCGTGGCCACCATCCTCTTCGAGAGCCGGCTGGGCTGCCTGGAGAGCCAGGTCCCGCAGACAACGGTGGAGTACATCCAGGCGCTAGAACTCATGTTCAGCATGTTCAAGACCTCCATGTATGCGGGTGCCATCCCCCGCTGGCTCCGGCCCCTCGTGCCCAAGCCCTGGCAGGAGTTCTGCAGGTCCTGGGATGGACTCTTCAAATTCAGTAAGAGATGGCCGAAGGCACGCCCCGCCCCGCGCCCTGTGTGCACCGCCTCCAACTCCCATGCGTCCCCTTCTGCGCTCCCAGGGACCCCGCTGCCTGGTGCTCTCATAGTTTTCTGATGTGTTTCTCAGACTGGCCAAAAGCTCGTGATCTGTGACAACAAATGATGTTTCTGATTTTTCATTTTTTTTTTATTTGAAAGGTAGAATTACAGAGAGATATCTTGCATTCACTGGTTCAGTCCCCAGATGGCTGCAACTGGGTTGGCCTGGGCCATGTCAAAGCCGGGTGCTCCATCCAGGTCTCCCCCACGTGGGCAGTTGCCCCAGCACTTGGGCCATCTTCCCAGTTTTTCCTAAGCCATTAACAGGGAGCTGGATTGGAAAAGTGGGACAGCCAGAAGACAAACTGGCACATGCATAGGATACCAGCGTCACAGGAGGTACGTGAGCCACAGTGCTGGCTCACTCCTCAAGTGGCTGCAGTGCCCAGGCCTGAGCCAGGCCGGCACCCAGGGGCCAAGGGTTTCTTCAAGTCTCCCATGTGGGTGGAAGGGGCCCCAAGCACTTGGACTATCTTTGCCACATTTTTTCAGGCCATTGGCAGGGAGCTAGAGTGGAAATAGAGGAGTTGGGACCTGTTTGGAATGCTGGCATCAAAAGCGGCAGCTTAACTTGTTGTGCCATAGCACTAGCCTCCTTTCTTCTTGATTCAGTTTTCTTTTCTGGAAACTTTGTGGCGGAAAAAAAATACAGAGTGTTCACTTGTTACCCGCATGATAGAAATACTGGTTTTGGTTATTGGGTTAGTTAAGGCAACATCTGCAAATATCTTACCAAGGATTTCTAAGAAGGGAGATATGCTTAGCTTGACTTTACCTTAAAAAAGAGATCTATTCATTTATTTATTTTTAAAAGATCAATTTATTTTTATTGGAAAGGCAGATTTATAGACAGGAGAGACAGAGAGATCTTCCATCCGCTGGCTCTCTCCCCAAATGGCCTCAATGGCCAGAGTTGAGCTGATCTGAAGTCAGGAGCCAGGAGCTTCCGTGTCTCCCACACAGATGCAGGGTGCCACAACTTTGGGCTGTCCTCTGCTGCTTTCCCAGGCCACAAGCGGGGAGTTAGATGGGAAATGGAGCCACTGGCTTATATGGGATACCAGCACTTGAAGCGGGGAGGAGTAGCCAGTTATGCCATTGAGCTGGAGGAATTTAATTTTTCATCACATGACATGAACATGTCTGTGTGTGAAGGTCAAGTGCAGCAGCCATCCATCTGGGTTTCCTTGGACTCTTCCGCTGGCTGTGTCTCGGTCCACTCCCTGGAAGGACAGAGAGGGACTCGAGAGTGACAACGTGGTTCTCCACTCACACGTCTCTCCGCCAGGCCAGATCCACGTCGACAGGAAGCTGAGGAGCATCCAGTGCCAGGCGGAGCGGGGCGAGCAGGTGCGAGGGGGCCTCCTCACCTACCTGGTCCTCAGCCAGGCGCTGACGCTGGAGGAGATCTATGCCAATGTGACCGAGATGCTGCTGGCCGGTGTCGATACGGTGAGTCAGGGGCGGAGGGGAAAGGGCTCCCATCCTCCCACCCCCATGGGGGCTGTCGGCTACTTTTGGCTTACTGTTTATTTATTTGAAAGACAGACAGAGTCACAGAGAGAGAGAGAGAGGGAGCAAGGGAGAGAGAGAAAGATCTCTTCCCACATACTGGTTCACTCCCTGAAATGGCCAAAGCAGCCGGGGCTTGGCCAGGAGCCTGGAGCTTCTGCATCTCCCACTTGGACCATCCTTCCCTGCTTTCCCAGTTCATAAGCAAGGCGCTAGATTGGAAGTGGAGCAACCAGGACACAAACTGGTGCTCCGTGGGATGCTGGCACTGCACGTGGAGGCTTAGCTTGCCACGTTACCGTGCTGACGCCTGGCTGTGTACAGATCTTCTCCTTCTTGTTATTGCTGAACTGGTACTTACACTATCTTGGGAGTTGTAAAGGACCTCGGGATGGCCGCATGCGCACTGGAGGACTGTGTGTGCTGTGTGGCCTGGACCCCAAAAGCGACTGCCTTGTGTTTCCTCCAGGGAAGCACGTGGCTTGGCCCCTTCACACCTGTGTGCGTGTTTGCGATTGACTGGTGGACACAGCGGGTGGAGGCAGGGGCTTGGCCACCTGCTATCACCTGGTTGGAGGTGCAGTGCTGTGGGCCAAGGGGGCTGCACAGCTAAGTTCCTTCCAAAAACCCATGCCAGATGATGCATTCCGTCACCCCTGAGTATGTGTGTGGTGTGGGTGCACAGCGGGTTATATTTTCTGGGAGGAAGTGGAGGGGCAGGCTGGAACAGGCTGGTGCTCTCTACAAATGCTGAAAGGGACATCAGCTGCGTCGACCTTGTGCAGGGACCTGGGCAAGTGTTGGGTGGAGTGGCCTGGAAGGCAAGAGTGCAGACGGACGGCAGGGGTGTGGATGGACAGATGGCAGGGGTGCGGACAGATGGCAGGGTGTGGACAGACGGCAGGGGTGCGGATGGATGGCCAGGCATGGATGATAGATGGCAGGGTGTGGATGGACGGCAGGGTGCAGACAGATGGACGGCAGGGGTGTGGTTGGACGGCAGGGGTGTAGTTGGACGGCAGGGGTGGTTGGACGGCAGGGTGTGGATGGATGGCAGGGGTGTGGTTGGACGGCAGGGGTGTGGATGGACGCAGGGATGTGGATGAGCAGCAGGGTGCAGACAGATGGATGGCAGGGGTGTGGTTGGACGGCAGGGGTGTGGATGGACGGCAGGGGTGTGGACGGACGGCAGGGGTGTGGTTGGACGGCAGGGTGTGGACGGACGGCAGGGGTGTGGGTGGACGGCAGGGGTGTGGGTGGACGGCAGGGTGTGGATGGACGGCAGGGGTGTGGGTGGACGGCAGGGGTGTGGATGGACGGCAGGGTGTGGACGGACGGCAGGGGTGTGGATGGACGGCAGGGGTGTGGTTGGACAGCAGGGTGTGGACGGACGGCAGGGGTGTGGATGGACGGCAGGTTGTGGATGGACGGAAGGGGTGTGGATGGATGGACGGCTGGGTGTGGATGGACGGCAGGGGTGTGGTTGGACAGCAGGGTGTGGATGGACGGACGGCAGGGGTGTGGATGGACGGCAGGGGTGTGGATGGACGGCTGGGTGTGGATGGACAGCAGGTTGTGGATGGACGGAAGGGGTGTGGATGGACGGCTGGGTGCTGACGGACGGCAGGGGTGCGGACGGACGGCAGGGGTGCGGACGGACAGCAGGGGTGTGGACGGACGGCAGGGGTGTGGACGGACGGCAGGGGTCTCCTGCTCCCCTGCATGGGCGGCTTTCCCCGGGGTGGGGCTCACAGCTTCACTTAGCAGGAGAGAGATCTCAGTATTCATGTGTGAGAACTCCAAATTTTTTTTGATGCCAGGGCTTCCTGGCTTTAAATGGAGTACACACCTGTTTAAGAAAAAGGTTATTTATTTTCTTTGAATGACAGAGAGATGGAGAGAGAGAATATCTTCCGTTCAGTAGCTCACTTCCCAAATGACAGCAATGACTGTGGTTGGGCCAGGATGAAGCCAGGAGCCAGAAGCTCCATCCAAATTTCATATATATATATATATATATATATATATATATATATATACACACACACACATATATATATAATTTCACATTTCATATATATTAAGTCATGTAAACACGAAAAGGCAAAAAACAACATGATAAACTCCTCTTTCTTATGGATCTTTACAACAATCAAACATAAAACATAGGTTAAGAACAAACTAAATAGTGCTGTCAATGGAAATCCTAATTAGCCACGTGAATGTGGAGAGGTGTGAATTTGCTTGAAGCAATGGACCAGCCTGGAATGGTCTTCCCAGCCGTGGTGTCACGCGGGCGTCCTGCCCCCTGCTGGTGACTAGGAGCATCGCAACGAGGTGGAGTTGAAAAGGACCTGAACAGCGAGACAAAATTGTTACAGCACCACAGTCCATCGAAAAATAAAATAAAATAAACTTTATGGCAGTCTAACATATGCAAAAAAACTACTTTCGGTTGAGCTAGGCAATTTAATACAGACGATTGATGGATGTGGTCATTACTGAAACTTCCACAACATTGGTGTATGGGTCCGGCACGGTGGCTCAGTTGACTAGCCCTCTATCTCCAAGTGTCAGGACCCCATGCGGGCACTGGTTCGAGTCTCCGCTTCCCATCCAGCTCCCTGCTTGTGGCCTGTTGTAGCAGTGGATCACGGCCAAGAGCCTTGGGACTCTGCATCAGCATGGAGACCCAGCAGAAGCTCCTGGCTTTGGATCGACTCAGCTCCGGCTGTTGTGGCTTTTTGGGGAGTGAACCAGCAGATGGAAAATCTTTCTCTCTGTAAATCTGCATTTCCAATAAGAATAAATAAATCTTAAGAAAAAAAAAAACCCTGTGATAAATGGAACTGTAGACTGGGTGCTTTGCATCCGCTTCTTTGAACCAGCAAAATGACAGTGAAACTTATTATTCACGAAGTGGCATCCAACAGCGGGGCAAGCACGTGGCTGACCCATGTTGGTGGTTCACATGAGTGTGAGCCGTACAGGAGCCTTGCGTTCCCCAGATAGGAACCAGCCACACCGTCTCTTTATAAAGAAGAGTGCGCACATTTTGGAATCAAAGGGAAACTTCCTTGTGGTGCAAAGAGCCTTTTTTTTTTAAGACAAGATTTATGTAACACTTTGCAAAGCAGAATGACCGTGAGAGATCTTCCACCTGCTGCTTTGCTCCCCGGATGGTGCCAACAGTCAGATCTTGGCCAGGCTGAAGTCAGCAGCCCAGAACTCCATCCTGGCTCCCACTTAGATGGCACGGGCCCGAGTGCTTTGTCCATCTTCTGCTACAGGGAGAGTAGGTGGGGTCTGGACCAGTACTGCAATATAGGATGCCAGTGTTTCAGGTGGCCATTTAATCAGCTGTGCCACAATGCTGCTCCCTGTCGTGGCTCCAACATTGTTGGAATGCGAAGTTTCTTCCTAACAGATATGCCTTATGAACAGTCTGAGGACTCCTCCTATGTTATATGTTTCAGAAGAGACTGCTCCCTATGGAAATCTGGGGTTCTGGAAGGACAAGGTGGGCTTACCTTCAGTGATGGAAATGTCATCCTTCAGTGAGAAGTGGTGTAGAGAAGTGATTCTGCTAGGGTACTTACTTGGCATAGTAGCCAAGGGGCCGCTTGGATGTCCCACATCCCACCTCCTAGCACCTGACCCCGGGAGAAAGCAGGCCGTCGCTCAAGTCTTTGGTCCCCACTGCCCATGCGGAAGACCTAGGTGGAGCTTCCAGCTCCTGGCTTTGACCTGGCACAACGCCAGCTATCGTGGGCATTTGGGGAGTGAACCAGTGATTGAAGCAGTCTGTCTCTCTTTGTTTTCTCTCCTTGCAAGTAGACACTGGTTTGCTGCAATGAGCTGCTGGGCCACTGACTTCACTTGGTAAATACCCAGAAACTGGACAGACCGCTAATCCGCAGCCACTCCCAGATTTTTGGATTAGTGTGGCCAGGGCATGGGGGCATGCTGGGTGGTTACAGGAATCTAGGGCCCTGGGGGCAGCCTCACGTGACCCCTGCAAAGGCTGTCCCATGAGCTGCCACGTGCTACTGTCATTGTCCTCTGTATCTTGCCGGCTCCCTGGAAGTGATTCAGAAAGTTTCTTCCCAAAGCAAGCAGGAGTTGGTGTGACATCCCTTTAGGCTCTGCAGCCTTTTCCTGGCACACAGAATCCTGGGGCTTCTCCGGCTCTGCACCTGTGTGGGTTTACCCCTGATACTGCCGGCTGGGGGTGCCTCCCCCCCATGGCACTCAGCCCACTCCCGTGCCTGCTGCTTTGTCTTGCCAGACGTCCTTCACCCTGTCTTGGGCGGTGTACCTGCTGGCGAGGCACCCGGAGGTGCAGCAGACTACGTACCAGCAGATCGTCCGGAACTTGGGAGAAAGGCACGTGCCGACGGCCGCGGATGTCCCCAAGGTCCCGCTGGTCAGGGCGCTGCTTAAGGAGACCCTCAGGTGAGCAGAGCTCGCGCCGCCGGACACTGTCCCTTCCGTCTCTAATTCTCTGATTTTTAAAGGAAGGTTTATCTTATTTGTTTAAAAAGCTGGGTTGCAGAGAGGGGGAGAGACAGGGAGAAAGAAGTCTTCCATCCACTGGTTTTCTCAAGTAGCTGTAGTGGCTGGGCCTGGGTCATGCCGAGGCCAGGAGCCTGGAGCTCCATCCGGGTCTCCCACATGCCTGGTAGGAACCCAGGCACTTGGACCATCCTCTGTTGATTTCCCAGGTACACTAGCAGGGAGCTGGATCAGAAGTGGAGCAGGTGGGATGGGAATGGGGTGGGTGGAATTACAAATGACAGCTCATCTTGTGACAGCGCGTGCGCAGCTGGCGTGTGGTATAAGCTCTGGCTGCTGCCCTTGCGGTACGATATTAACATCAGGAACTCAGCCGTGATCTTTGAGATTCTTTTTTCTCTAAAATCACAGCTGTGTTCCTGTCCCTGTCGTCCCCCACTCTATAGACTGTTTCCGGTGCTACCGGGAAATGGCCGGGTGACCCAAGAAGATCTGGTGATTGGCGGGTATCTGATTCCCAAAGGCGTGAGTGTGGTGGTCCTGAGGGTGGGGCTGGGCGGGTCCAGAGCGACCAAGTCAGGGCTCTGCAGGGGCCTTGGTCAAGTCCTTGTTCCTGAGTGGAGGTCCCTGGGGGTTGTTCCTGGTGACTTACCTGCGTGGAGGGTCTGAGGGATACAAGCCCCCTTCTTGGTAGCTGCTGTGACATCTGGGGTGGGGTGTCGAGCTGTGTCCTGGGCCTTCCAATGGCCATGTGCTGAAGGAGCGATGCCGGCTGGGGCTGTGGCCTCGGTGTGCGGTCTCCTGCCAGCCCGTCTCTCCCCTTCCCTGTGGTCCGCTGGCCCCCTCAGACACAGCTGGCCCTCTGCCACTATGCCACGTCCTATGAGGAGGAAAACTTCCCGCGGGCCCGGGAGTTCCGTCCGGAGCGCTGGCTGCGGGAGGGCGGCCTGGGCAGAGTGGACAACTTCGGGTCCATCCCCTTCGGTTATGGCGTCCGCAGCTGCATCGGGCGGAGGATCGCCGAGCTGGAGATCCACCTGCTCATGATCCAGGTAGGGCATGTGGCTGTGGGGTGGCTGTCAGGGGCTCGGCACCAAGAGTTTTAGGAAAGGCTCAGCTCTGCCTGAGATCCCCTTGGTTTTGTTAAGATGCCATCCCTGGCTTTGGCAACGCCAGGGTCACGTGGCCTGTTTTTCTCCTCCTGGCATTTTGTGGCCAGAGGGTGGAGAAGCTGGGGCCTGAAGACTTGGGGTGGGAGGGGACCCCAGGGTCTGCTGCCCTCACATGGGAAATGCCAGAGAGAGGCCAAACCAGAGGGAAGCATGCAGTGATTACCTAAATGCTAGCTTAGATCTATTTTAAAACAATGTATTTATGTATTTATTTGGAAGGCAGAATGACAGAGAAAAGGGAGTGAGACAGACAGACACACACACAGCTGTTAATCTCCCATCCGTCCACTGCTTCACACCCCAAAGGGCCGCAGCAGTCAGGCCTGGGTCAGGCTGAAGCCAGCAGCTCTCTCTGGGGCTCCCACGTGGGTGAGCAGCCATCTGCTCTCCTGAGCGGGGAGCCAGGTCAGAAGCAGCGCCGCAGGACTCCGTAAGGCACCCCAGGTGGCATGCAGTTTAACGTGCTGGGCCATAAGGGTGCACCCTTGAGCTAGCCAATGGAAATGGTGAATGAAACCTGTTTTCCTGCAAGGACCCAGAGCTGTGTCACAGGGGCGGGCTCTGCAGGGGCTTCCACACTGGCCGTGTGTGTTCCTGTGGCTACAGCTGCTGCTGCGGCGGGGAGCCCTGCGAACGCCCTGCCGTCCCAACACTGAATCCTTCTCTCTCTCTCCCCGTCTTTCTGTGCTCAGCTGCTTCAGCACTTTGAGATCAAAACATCGCCTCGCACCACAGCTGTTCACGCCAAGACGCACGGGCTGTTGGCACCAGGGGAGCCCATCCACGTGCGTTTTGTCAACAGGAAATGACCTGGGATCCGTTGCCTGGGCTGAGGGAACAGAGCCAGCTAGCCCCACACCCAGGATGTGCTCCCACAAGCCCCACGGAGGGGCCACCCCGTCATCGCCGTGCTGTCTGGGAAGGAAGGTGGCCCGTTTGCCTTGAAAGCTCCCGAAGTTGTCCTTGGAGGACAGCTGGCCCTGTTTTCGTGTGTCAGAGGCTGTGCTGCGCTCAACAGTTGATGCCTGGTGGAATCTGCATGTCTGTGCGAGAGGTGGTTGGAGACAATGATTGCAAGCAACTTCCGTTTGCTTCTGATCCGAACTGGGAGAAGGCCTCTGGGTACCACCATCTGCAAGAGATGGCGTTTTATCTGAAGCAGCAATTTGAGATCCCAGTCCCAGGCAAGAAGGGCTAACGTCCTCCTTTTTCTCTCTAAACCATTGCCTGTGTTTCTCATGGCAGCTCCCAGGGCCAGCGGGGTGTTGCTGCTGATTTGAAACACCATCAACAGCAACATCAGACTCTTGCTGAAACGAAGCAGCACCAGCTTTAGGAATCCAACCGCAATGCAGGGAGAGGTCTAAGAACGGAAAGTACAACTCTGTAAGGCTTTGTGGACAGAAAGGCCCGAAGCACGCACCGTGGAAGACAATTTTCTCTCAAGGAAAAGTAGATTACAAACCACGCAGGTCATGGCTAGAGTAGAGTTTGTGTCTTCTGCCGCTACAGTCAGCATCCAAATTGGAAGCGAGCTGCACCTGCTAGTACTTGTGAGGCAGGGAGGGGAGGAGTGGCTGTCAGGCAGGTGCAGTCATGGTCAGTTCTGCTGCTTTCCATGTTACCTATTGGTCACTAAGAAGGAGACTGGGATTCTGTCCCGTTCTCTGCTGGCTGTCATACCCCCAACATCTCACTCCCAGTCTCATGATTGATTTTACCTAATTCTTGGCCACTCGTTGCTTCGCTACCCACACAGCTTTCTTCTTCCTTTCGGAAGTCATTCTGCAAAATGGCCCTTCAGTAGAATAGAAATAACATCCATGTCAGACACCGTTTTGGTTAACCTGCAGCACAATGGATTCTGTAAAATCAAAGATGAAATTACAGAGGCTGGTGTTGTGGCATGGAGGATGAAACCACACTGCCTGTGAGGCTGGCACCCCCTTTGGGTGCTGGGTCTTGTCCTGGCTGCTTTGCTCCAATCCAGCTCGCTGCCAACGCGCCAGGGGAAAGCAACATGGAATGGCCCCAGTGCTTGGGCTCCTGCCGCCCGTGTGGGAGACCATGTCACCCAGGCCTGGCTCTCGGCTTGGCCTGCCCCAGTGATGGCTGTTGTGGTCGTCTGGGGAGTGAACCGGCAAATGGAAGATCTCTCTGTAACCTTGCTTTTCAAATGGAAAACAAGAATATCTTTAAAAAAAAGATTTATTTTTTATTGGCAAGGCAGATATACAGAAAAGGAGATACAGAGAGAAAGATCTTCTATCCACTGCTTCATTCTCCATGTGGCTGCAACAGCCAGAGCCAAGCCAATCTACAGCCAGGAGCCAGGAGCCAGGAGCTTCTTCTGGGTCTCCCACATGAGTTCAGGGTCCCAAGGCTTTGGGCCGTCCTCGACTGCTTTGCCAGGCCACAGGCAGGGAGTTGGATGGGAAGTGGAGCAGCTGGGATACAAACCAGTGTCCACATGAGATCCCAGTGCATGCAAGGTGAGGATTTAGCCTCTAGTCTATCACACTGGGCCCCAAAATAACCTTTTTTTAAAGTTGAAATTATGTCCTGGTCACAGCCCAAATGCTGGATGATGTGCTGACTGTACAAAGTAGATGGATTGTATTTGAGACTGAAAATGAAGAATCACTGGAAATGACTGAAGTGACTCCAGGTGCGTTCGCTGCGACCCTCGGGGACAGTGTGGACCCTGCAGCAGCAGGGGAGCAACGACACCACAAGAGCAGGGTAGGAACGCCACATCCCTGCTGCTGTCCCAGGAGAGTGACAGGTAGACCTGGGGACCCTCCCCGCCCTGCCCGAGGCTGCCTGGCCAGAGGCAGTGCCGTTGAACTGGACTGAAGTAGAACTCAGGGCAGAGAGGGACAGGTCAGAACAATCCAGAATGCAGACGGAGCAGACCGACCGTGGCCGGGCTCAGAACGCTCCGATGTGGCGATGGTGGCACAGTGACATGCAGGCAGCAGCCGCTGGCCCCGGAGGACTGTGCTTGGATCTGCTCCTGCTTACGGTCCTGGACACCAGTGGGTGCTGGCATCCTGCCGGGGCACAAGGCAGGTGCTGCAGCAGGATCAGCCAAGTTGCTCCTGCTGTTTTGAATCTGTTTAAGCTCAGGATCTGGATGATGAAAGCAATGGAGTAGATAGCTCGGGATTTTCAACGAATCAATGGCAAGAAAAAAAAAAAAAAGAGCAAAGGAGAGCTGTTACAGAGTAAGAGGAATTTTTGGGACGTGTTAACCAAGTGCAATGCTTGGCTCACTTTGACTCAGCCACATCCAATCCACTACTTGTCAAGAGACATTGGAGAGGGTACTGTGAAAGTGAAGGCAAAAAGATGGATTCTTCCAATAGGTGGAAAGACAAACAGAGAACTGGGGAGACTTCAGCGCTGTGTGTTCAACAGCATGGAGGGGTTCCAGCCAGTGGGTATTTTTGGGCTGTGATAATGGTAGTTACAGAGAGAGCTTCCCTATAGATACAGCTGTTAGCATTGTAAATGTGTACAGGTGTCAGGCTGGCCTCTCTGGGGTTGGCTTGCCGTGAGGGCGCAAAGGTGGGGAGAGCTGGAGAAGGAGCTGTGAACCCAGCCTGGTTCACGAGGGTGAGGGGCTCCCAGCCGCCAGCTCCTGTCTCCGTTTGGTGGACGTGTGGATGCCCCCATAAACAACGAATGGTTACGGTTTGTCTGTGTGTCCTCGTGTTAGCAGAGATGGGTGGGACAAATCCTTGTCTTCATGCAAGAAAGAGGATGGCATACAGCAGTGGTCAGCAAGGCAGTAAGGGGTTCAGGGGCAAACATGCCTGGTAGACCAGATGGATGGCTCAGGTCAGAGCTGAGAGTGGGGCACAGGGTTAGGGTTGAGTTATACTTAGGGTGAGCGGAGTGTTTATATGTTGCACTAAGAGGAACTTGTTAGGGTTAGGGAGCCCAGTCGGGTTGGGCCACCATGACACAAGTCAAAAGGAGCTTAGGAGAGGGTGCGGGCCAAACTCTGGCACCCTTGGGCCCCATGCGCCGTGATTTCTGAGCAGCCACTGTTGTGCTTCTAAGTTTACAAGTTACAGCGCAATTGCTTGGTTAGGCAGGTGAGTGACAGGCATGTTGGCCAATAAAAACGGAGATAAGGCTGTGCTGGCCAATCACAGCTTTGAGGGGCTAGTCCATCGGTGTCTGGGGGAATGGGTTTCTGTGCCGCCTGCAAGGAGACAATGGCTGCTTTTCCAGGGCGCTTCTGGAGTTGTCCCCTGGAACATGCTTGCACACCAGGGCCGGTGCCCACCACACGTATAGAAACCCACTGGAAAAAAGTAGCCAGTGCGCTGTGGGCACCCAGCTCTGACCGCTGCCGTGAAGTGGAAGCTGCCTCATTGGGGATAATTTCTGGGATTCTCCCAAACGTGGCAGTCCCCAGCCGGAAGGTCAACAAGCAGCTGGTGTGCCTTCTGGAAGCTTCCTTCCTCCTTCCGCTTCCCCTTCCTCTTACATTTCTTCCTCCTTCTTGCTTCTTCCTCGTCTTCTTCATGTTCCTCTTATGACAGTCTCTCTCTCTCTCTCTCTCACACACACACACACACACACACTCTAACCCTCCAACCCAGATTCCTACACATGTCAGTAGGTGCAGCAGGCCAGTCCAGTCAGTGACATAGCCCAATCAGGTCCTCATATACACTTACGGATGCTGCAGCTTAGCTCGGCTCACCCCGCACCGTGAACTAGTCTACATGTATGACAATGGTGCTGCCATCCTGTCCAGCCTGGCCACTCCAGCCCTGGCTCTCAGGCACACCGGCAGAGGTGTGCCCACTGGTTCCCTCCTAGGACCAGTCCTAGATCTTGCGCTTTCCAGAGAGTACTGTGCTGTAGTCTAACACGACTTGCAGCCTGCCCCAGCACTTGCTGGTGAAAGCTGCAGCCGGGCCTCGCCCAGCCCTCCCCTAAACCCAGCTCACACGCAGGCTGCTGTTGGTTGCAGTCCTGCCTGGGTTCTGTTGCAGCCTGGTCTGCGCCCTGCCCCACCTCTCATGCTCACCAGTGGGAGTGGTGGCCCAGCAGGGGAGCTCCCACAGCTCCAATACCAGGATTGCTCCTTCCTGCAGGGGTCTCAGGGGTGCTAGTGGATTCTGCAGCCCAGTGTGGTATAACCTGCCTCACCTCGACATTTGCCAGCAGGTGCTGTAGCCTGGTTTGACCAGCTTAGCTGAGTTCCAGCTCATACTGGTGGGTGCTATAGTCTTGCCCAGCCCCACCAGCCCCCAGTGCAAGCCCTATTATGAACTGGCAGGTGTTGTGTCTCAACATGGCCTGGCCTACACCCCATCCTGAGTCTCACACCTGCCAGGGAGTGTTGCAGAGCAGCCCAGCTTGGCCTGCCCATGAACGTGACCCACACGTATGCCCCATGGGTACAGTGACCTGGCCTGGCCTGCTCCCAGTTTCAGTTGTTGAGCTCACCAGCTGGGGCTGTCTCATCAGGAGAGTTCCCCAAGCTCCCCATCAAACCAGCTTCCAATCACTGATCTCACGCACACCGGTGGGTGTTTGGCTCAGCCTGATTGGCCAAACTCAAGTCCTGACCTTCACTGGCAATGACTGTGGCCTTGCCAGAGCAGCCAACACCCATTCTGGCTCTCTGCAGTGGGTGTTGCAGCACAGACCTACCTGGCCCACCCCCAGACCCTGCTGTCCTGTGCATCAGCAGGTGCTACAACTTATCTCAGCCTGTCACACATCCACTCTGGCTCTCGTGAGCACCAGCAGATCCTGGAGCCTAGCCCAGTCTGGCACATGC